GCTTGACGCTCTGAGAAAAGGAAGAAATAGCTTGGGCTGTGGACCAAAGGGGGAAGCGAGGCATGAGCTGTGCAGCGGAGCAATCACAGAGATTCTGCCTTTGATTAGATTAGCATTAAACAACACCCTGACAGTTATGACAAATAGGTGCATTAGTGCCTGTCATTCTCCTCTTTGGTTTTCTGTCTAGCTTTCACTTCTGCCATTTCTTTCAGCTCTGGACATAACGGGGCTCACATTCCCTTTTTTAGTCTCAGTAGCCCCAAATCTCAAGGCCAACGACATCCAAACAGATGTGTAATCTGGCTGTATTACCTTTTTTTTTTTTCGAATAAAGAACTGAAATGAATAATGGGAACCAAACAACATATGGGGAGGTAAAAAGAAAGATATGATTTTTTTTTCTTTGGGAAATCGAGCTGATAAAAAAGCAGAGTGCAGTGTTAAGAGAGGTGTCATTAATCAGATGTGCTTTTTGTGTTATTGGAAAACTGTGTTTTATATGCAACACAAGGCCAGAGGGGAGTCATTATCTGATGTCTTCGTCATTGAGAGAGAACACAAGTGCAACTAAATAAGTGGAGAGAAAAAAATGGTGAGCACTCATCTGCTAACCCGCTTTTAGCAGAGCTGATATTTTGATGAGTGGTTTAGCATTTGCATTAATCGTATAAACTATTAATGGGCACTTGACTTTTAAGTCATTTTCTTTGAGGCTAAAATCTTCACTACAGCCTTGATATTTTCAATAATATTGGCTTTGGTACCAGCAACATTCTCAGTGGGCTGTGAGCATTGCCATTTCATGCAGTCTCTGCCGTGCATCATGCATTGACATCCTCCCTGAGCCGTGGAGAGCTACCCTTACTTTCAGTCTCCTCTTAAATGCAGCGCAGACCTTCTGACTCATGGTTTCAGTTTACAGGCAAAAACTGAGACTTTAATATTTTGTTAACAAACACTGAACAAGAATTTGTCAAGAGAAAAACCAGTCAACACTCAAAACTATAGTAAAAGGTAAGAAAGAGTAAGTTGTAGACATTTTCCCAGCATCCTTTGCAGCACATCTTTCAGTCACAAAACGTTTTCTGACTGTCGCAAAAATTTAAAAAAATGAAATGAAGGTACATATTTGCTTTAATCTGGGGGATACAAATATTCATTTGTTTGTATTAATAATGTTCAAATGTAAAAACTAAATTAACAGAAGCACAATTTCTCAAATTTTTCGATGCCTTTTTCTCCTCCTACGTCCGCTTTTCCTGTTTCAGCCAGCAGCAGGGTTGTAGCTCCGCCTCCCAGCTTTACTGAAACCAACTATTTTCTCAAATATCAGCTCTAAAAGAGATATGAACCCTTTTATCTGTGATCCATGAAGCATTTTGACTTGTGTTGACTTCGTCACATTAAACATTTAGGTTTGGTTTGATATCTGTCTTGAAGTTTAATTACTGATTGTAAAACTGACAACCTTTCCTGAAAAGTCTGGGCCAGAAGAATAGTAACCACCCTTATTGGCATTACGGCAGACTAGACGCTAATGGTAAATATTAGCGGTTTAGCTTTAGCTTCTGCCAAATTGTTGTCAATTTAGCTTTTTATCATTAGCGGAACTAAGATTTTTGTGTAGCCTTTATGATGTTAGTGAAGCTAATGTTTTGGTTGTGTGTCCACCACTTAAAAAATCATACCTAAAGTCTACGTATTCACAAATAGATCTAAAATAAACACTGCAGAGGTTTTGATGGCTTTCATACAGTAGCCAGCCTTCAGCCGTTTTGTATATTTTAATGGCAATCAGCCATCCTGGCGTGATCTATTGACAACCCTGATCATTGATCCGCCCACGCCTGCTTATGATCCCTGAATTAGTATTCATGAATCCAGCAGGAGCTAAATAAACTTAGCAGCAAAACACCCACAGGACAACGAAGAAGAGAAGGGTAATCAATGCAAAGCACCATCAAATCTACATCATCCCTCCTCATCAGTTTGGTCCAGGCCACGAGGGCCGGCGCTCGGGTCAGAGGTGACACGGACAGGTCGGCCCCTCGTGACCCTCGAGCCAATATTTGTGGATGAAGACGCCTTTTATCCTGATTTTCGGCCCTCGCTGTAGGTGAAGGGTGAACGTGGAGAAGCAGACAGGGCAGGGTGGAGGGAAAGATAAGGCTCCACGAATTTACTGCAGCTCAAGGTGAAACTGATAAATCAGACAAGTTAAAAAAAAGCACCAAGCAGAAGTAAGAAAAGATAAAGATGCCAGACTTGCCTGAGAACACAGAAGCATGACGAGCTCCACCACCGAGCTGCTGGACTTCATACACACCAGACCTGGAGGAAAAAATAAATTAAAATTGAGACAAAACGTGCATTTGACAAGTTAACTTCTGTGTGTGTTTTACCTCCAACAGCTTGTTGGACACTTATAGAAACATGCACACACTCACATTTACACCAACAAGACAGGGATTATCTAACCTTGTGCCATCTGTAGAGAAACAGATAGTATCGATGGGCCTAATGAGTCAACATGATGTTACTGTAAACTAATACATATTTGGGCCTTGTATTACAGGCCTGACTTGGCCAGCATATGTCTCATTGATCCCTAATGGCAAGCTCTAGGCTTTTAGAGAGCAGGGGGGCATAGGAGTGTCCACTGCAGAGGCACAGAGGGGGGGGGGGGTCTTTGGTCTCTCGGCAGCTTTTTAAATGACACAGACAGTGCCATTACATTAAAAAAATAAGCCTATACACGTACATCCACACAACCTCCGATGCCTTTTCAACAGTCCCTGGATCCCCCCCGCTGCAGCTATCAATCAACTTTCCATTTTGTTTGGTGGCAGCAGACATCCCAAACACTGCTATTAGTGGCCTGGCCTCTGACCTGGGCCCCTGGAAACCTTCAGCACAAATACCCCGCTGCTGGTCCTCTGCAACTCATCCCGCTATTGGATTAACAGTCCGGAAATGTTATCGCATTTAAATAACGAGGCACTGCCATCATTCGAGGTTTGTGAGGTTCCTGTGAAAAAATGCCTGTGACCTTTTTAAAATAAAAAAGGGGCTATCTTGATTGATTTTATTTATTTGTTTATTTTTTCCTCATTATTCTTGTACTCACTGGTGCCCTCGATCAGCAGCTCCTGTCCGTGGCTGCCCAGCAGGGTGCGAGAGAGGAAGGGAGCAAAGTCGACAAAGATCTCCCTCAGCAGAGGAGCAGCCTTTTCAAGAGCATGCTCCAGACGCTCTGAGATACTGAATAAACAGTAAACGGACACAGAGTGCACATTGAGTGAATTTATTCTATCTCCATATCTAAAGTATATCAATGACGAGTCACAACACATTAAAAAAATACAATACAGCCCTCAAATCTGTTTCTAATATGAGGGGGAAAATATTGTATTAGGACAAGAGGCAATAATCAGTAAAAATATGCATAACTGAGTATGTTGGTGTGCATAAACAGCTGACAGTGCATGTAGCAAAATGGGAGAAGGGGGGTGAAGAAGAAGATGAATCACCTCATATTGGGGGCGGTGTTCTGGGTCACAGAGGAGAGTGGGGGGACAGATGGCAGGCTGGTGCTGGCTGGAACCTGGCCGCCTGCTGCAGGGAGAAACCAAAGAACTCTGTTATTAGTCTGGATGTAGGACAAGAACGTGCACGCACACACACACACACACACACACACACACACACACACACACACACACACGGAGGGAAACATTATTCAAACCCAGATTGCACCATTAACCTGTTTGGAAGTGTGCTTTTTGTGAGGCAACTGTGAAGTTTAATTAAATAAGAAGAATTATGAAATTTATGTCTGAAAAGATGAAGTATAGAAAAAAATATAATTTTATGTTAAAATGACAGGCGTTCTTCTGAGCTGGTAATTATCAAATTACTATTAGTGATTTTTTTATTTTTGTTTGTGTTTTATGTTATTTGTGGTTTATTTATCTTTTTTTTTTGGTAAAAAAGTGAATCAATAGCAACCCTATAATTATGCACAGTATATACTGTGTTTTTTTTTCTTTCAGTCAATAATGAAAACATTTTAAAACGTGAACTCCCTGCTTGTAGTGCTGCTCCAAAGAGCTGCTCTGCTCCACTTAAACAAACACGCCCACAAAGTTCTGACCAACCACATGCTGTGAGCCGCAAGGTCCGCAGGACAGAGTTCTGACTCGGGTTCTGGCTAGCTCTGTATAGACTAGCCATTTGCTCATTAATATGGTCAGAACTGATCCATGTTCTACCAAGCTGTGGTTGTTAAAGAGTTATCTGCAACAGGTAAGATAATAACTAATCAAATGCTTTCATAGAATCCTAAAAAAAATAAGAATTGTACTTACTTATTTACTTACTATTTCAAGTACTTGCGAAGAAATATATATTTAAGAGTTAACCTCTGTGTTTAAATATAAAATGATTTGAAACCATTTTTTTTCCTTCATTAAATCATTACATTCCAATTTACCCCTCTGGGCTGTTTTGTGACTGTTTCATTATCCACCTAAAAAGTGCTTTATGACTTAATTCTGAAGACGGAGGCACACGAGGTACAAAGTCCGTGTGTGATTGATCTGGCAGTAAGTTCTGCTCCATGTGGCTCATAAATAAGCTAATGCCCAGCTGAATATGGAGGAGGGGGATTCCTCTGGTGTTTCAGCAGTCTTGTTTTTCCAGCCAGGACAGTCTCTGAGCAGGGATAACTCTTCAGGAGTGACAGACAGTGTAATGTGGGCTGGAATGTGTGTGTGAGCGTGTGTGTGTGTGTGTGTGTGTGTGTGTGTGTGTGTGTGTGTGTGTAAGGTGTTAAACAGCGCCATGTGGACCGTAGTGAGAGCATCCCTCTCGACCTGAAGTAGCTCCTTCAAACAAAGAGGAGTAAATGAACGTCTCCATCAGTCCTCCCACTGCCCCTCTAAAACACACACTCACAAAGCATATTTACTCAGCACTGACTGAAAAATTTCCTGTGGATGCAGCTGAATGTAGCATTTTTAAACGGAGATGTAAAAGACAGATATGCAAAACATATAGTACTAATATTTTCAAATCTATTTCTCTAAAATATACAAACCAAAAACGAAAACTTTAAAACGTATTGGGAATAAATGCATAAAAATTACCAAAAACGTGTTCAGCTCTTCAGATTTATAGTCACGTCTGAATTTAATTTAAGTTTGTTGCACACAACCAGAAAAAGGGCAGAACTTTATTACTAACAGGTTAGTTTAACCAACAGAGTCAGAGTTTCTGCAAGTTTCAGTCAGCTAAGTTTATTATACATCTAAAGCTCAAATTTAAGACTTAAAGTCATGATTAAAAAATGTCTTTCAAAGACACACATTTTTTATTTTACATTCAATCTAAATAAAAAAAAACTAAACTAAAAATTCAATTTCAGGAGCAGAGTAACTGTATTCTTTAGAGGAAGGCTAACTGTTTGCTTCCAACAGGGCTGCTGCATGACGGGACTTTTAGTTTTGTTACAATGTAGTATCTGAAATCCTCAGACAGAACTACATTACAGAATGAATGAATCCCAACAGTGCAAGAAAGAAAAAAAATATTGATGTAAGAAGCAATGAATGCACAACAAAGTGTAATTAACTGACCTAAAA